TTGATGAACCTCAACCCTGAGGGGAAATCAGGAGCTATACATTCGCCGCATCTGGGAACCCGGTTCCGATCTGATTGAATACGCGTACCCAGATTCCTCTGATCTACTTGGGGCGTCGAATGAGCCAGCCTGCAAAACCGTGACTCCACAAGAGCGACATGGAGCTGAACGTTGTCGTTAGCTTCAGCTAATCGAATCCCGTTGTGCCCCTCCAAGTACTACCTAGTCACACTACGCATGCTCGGAGTCAAGTTACCTCTCTCTCCTTGATGACTAACTGGTATTGCTATTGGTTTGGTTATCTTAGGGCGCTGTCCAGGTTGCTTCCGCGCAGACAAGGTGCTTAAGGTAGTTAGTCTTCAGCCCATGGGCGGTTTTTGTTCTCTGGGTTGGTTGATATTTATCATCTATGCGAAGTTACCCAGATTCTAGGAGCAGATGCCCGCAGACCATGATTTTGATGCAGCAAGACTTCGTATGAAAAACATATTCGCTAATAGTAATGTATGTAATTAGTCATTCCTATTTACACTCGCCCCTTCCTGCTCCGAATCCAGGGGGGGAGGCACGAGGAATAGAGCCCAACCCCAGAAGTATTCATGCACTGCATTGCTAGTTCAAAGATCGTAAAGGGAAGGGCGCTGGCGGAAAGCGAAGCGGAGGATTGGTCTATGCAGGCGAAAGAGCTCGAGGGGTGAGGGGGTCCGTCATCGCTATCATAATCATGTCAAAGCGAAGCGGTGGAGTTTGGAGGGAGTCGTTCGTTAGTTCAGTTGAGGTTGGCGAAGTCGAGATGCAGGGCAGATAGCAGCCGCGATCGCAGTCGCAGTCGCAGTTGTAGCGGTAGCAGGAGATTGCAAGAATGAAGGTCAAGTTCCATGTCGAATCGCAAAGGGTAATATTTCGAGGGGAAAGATAACAGCGCAGAGACGGGAAAGGGAATCACGAATTGTCGTATGACACACACACGCACGCGCGCGCACACACACACCAGAACAAAATACCCATGAAATTGAGATCAAAGACACACCACCCTCTCGACTTCCAAAGTCATGGGTACACACCACTTATCATCCGACCAACGACTAGATGGAATCTTTACCACCCCGGCAAGTTAGCACCACCCGGATCAAAACGGTCGACGAAGCAGAACCAAAAGAGGTGGGCGAACATACTCAACGTCATACTCAAACTAACGTCCGTATTCTCCACCATTTCCGTAAACTCCTCAAAGCTGATCTTCCCATCGCCATCCTTATCGGCCTCCATGATCGTCTTGTCGACGATCTGTTGCAGCTGCACATCCTTCAGGTTGTTGCCGACCATCATCTTCAGGACGATGAAGAGCTCGCCGTTGGAGATGTATCCGTCGCGGTCGATGTCGTACACCTTGAATGCAAACCGAAGCTTCTCCTCCTTGTTGCCCTTGGAGCTGAAGGCCGACAGCCCGGAAACGAATTCTTGGAAGTCGACGTCGCCGCCACCGTCCTCGTCGAAGATGGCGATCATTCTTTTTTTCGGTGGAAGTTAGAGTCTGTGATGGATCTCTGGGGTGGGTAGTGAGATGATAGTGGGGTAAGGCGGCAGAGGTGAAGCGGGGGTGTGAATTGCATCAGGCATGGTAGGTCAAAGGAAAGTGAGGGAGAGGACGAAGTACCTCGTGGCGAGTGGGTTGGATGATACTTGAGGCAAAGAAAGGAATTCATCGCGATCAATAGTACCGGAACTATCCTGTTGAATCACACAGAGTTGTGTCAGAATGGAGTCACATGTAAGACGCCGCACGATCAAGACAAACCTTATCCAGCTTCATGAAGCGCTTGCGGAGACGGTCAACTTCATCACGATCGACTACACTTCATTAGTTTCACACGATAACCGTTCTCTCGAAAGGCTTGACCCACAGTTGGAGGCAGAAACTATGTTGTCGAGAAGCTGAGAGGTGCCGACCGAGCCCCTGCGGCGGCGCGCATCGTACAGGGCGGCATTGTTGGGCTCACTGGAATGGTCCATGGTGTGGGCTTTTGTTTTGAGCGGAATGTAAAGGGGAAAGGGTGTTAATGGCCAATGAAATTCTTGTCTGTTCAACGCGATTCAACCAGGAACCACAACCGGTGAAAGAAACGAGGCAATCAGAAAGCTGCACAAGAACTAGATTTACTCCAACAAGTACGGAGTAGATGAATGCCGAATGCGGGAGGGAGCGAGAGGGACGGAGAACAGAGGAGACTCCCCCGGCAGGCGACACAGACCAAAACGGCACTTTGATATCGACCAGCCCCGCACTAACCCGAAACAGACAGGCAAGCGAACCCCTGAGGCCGTGCACCGGTCCAAAACAGGCCACTGCCGGGTGACATTGCAACGTCAACTCATCCGCCAGTGCAAAGACTACGAGATTTCCATCGTCCATATCCCCCCCTTAACCATCCACTGCCATCACAAAAATACGTCTACGTGCTTTCGCATGATCAGACCTATCTACTGATACCAATTTTGGGTCCCCCATCCCATGGTCAGCGGCCGATCTCGCGCCCCAAAGTTCGTATGACTAGGTACGGGGGTATGGGGAGGACGCGCCCGAAAAAGCTCACCTCCAAGGCCTCCATCCCCATAGTCCGCGAACATGAGATAGATCTTATCGAGGATGAGATCCAAAATGCCCTTCAGCAGATTGAGACCGGTGTCGAGAAGGCGGAGGAGTCGGTGAGTCGTGTTCTCCCCCATCTACCGCTGGAATCCCTGCATATGTCACGTGACATCATCGCGAACCTCACCCGTCGTGAAAATTTTGCACCCGCCAGTCCAGGCCACAACCACAGCCCGCTGACGCCTACCTTCTACAGGAATTCCATCTGCAGGTCGCTATCAGTGCCGCCGCCCAGGGCAAAGTAAAAGATGCCCATATTCCGACCCCGGAGACCGTCCTCAGTAACCTCCGATATGACGAGCTCTACCCTCCAGTCTTCTCGCAGCCAGCGACATACATCCGCTTCTCCTCCACCGTCGAGGACTGCTGCGGACCTCCATATTGCATGAACGAGGACGATGATGTGTTCCTTAAGAACTTCAACCAAAAGCGCGATGCCGCCAACCAATGCACAGAAGACAACTTCGAGGAAGTCATGAGCTTCTTCGAATTGACGTCGAGGAAAGAGCAGCCGTATGCTTGTGTAGATAACTCTCCGGTCATGAGTTTCGAAGAATTCCAGGAGGCGATGGACCCAGCCGTAGACGACAGCGTAAAGCGTTTCGCCAAGGACATATATGACTACTGGAAGTCGCGACGCATCAGCGGTGGGAATGAGCCTCTGCTCCCGACACCAAAGGTGAGTCCCTGGCGCAAGAAGCGGCAAAGGTTATCCGATCCGCTAACAGTTCACAGGCTGAAGCTGGTCGGGAAGCTGATGATACCGACCCGTACGTCTGCTTCCGAAGGCGCGAGGTGCGGCAGACCCGCAAGACTCGTGGCAGAGATGCGCAAAGTGCGGACAAACTGCGACGGCTCAGAAAGGAACTGGAAGATGCTCGGCAGTTGGTTGCACTTGTACGTCAGCGTGAGTTGGCGCGCAAGGAGATGCTCGCCGTCGAACGGCAGGTCTTCCTGCAGAGATCCGAGGTCAAGGATATGAAGAGGAAACTCAATATCAAGGACGACGACGAGGATCTTATTAACCAGAGAGTAAGAATGATCATGACCTGCTTTCAAGCCATATATACTGACCATGCCACCAGCCCAAGAAGAAGCCGGTAGAGGCACCTGCTGTGCAGCGCCCAGCACCTCCCCAGCTGCGCATGCCCCCCAAGGCGGCCACGCAGCCAGCAGAAGACCTGCAGCTACTGGACGATGTCCAAGCGGAGAAAGAAAACGAGATCATCCGCGACATCAAGCAGAACATCACGAAGCACATCAAGTGGAACGAGGGTTATGTGGATTTCACACGAGCACCGCTCTCCCCGTCACCTGATCGGACGTTCGATGCTGCATTCCGCCCTGCAATCACCACCCAGTTACCGACGCCACCATCGTCGGAGTCATCCGACAACATGCCGGATTCAGCCATAGATACCCGCAGTGCCATTGCCCTCCCGAATAAATTAGCCCCCCATGCCATGGAACTGAGCGAGGACACGAGCAAGATGCCCTCATTCCGGAGACGTATAGGACGCGGGGGTCGTTTGTTCATCGATCGCCGAAACCTTGCGGCTCGTTGTAGAGTTGAACTGGATCCGTGGAAGGCTGATCGATTCAAGTACGATCAGGAAGATTCAGATGAGGAGCTCGATTATGTGAGGGACCAATTCGATATCCAGATCATGCAACATCGAGCCATCATGGCGGCAAAAGCTCGCGATCAAGCAGCAGCGGCAGCGGTTCAAGCTCATGCGCAGGCGCAGGCAGCTCAAGCCCAGGCCCAGGCCCAAGCTCAACGAAAGTTGCAGGCCGAACAGACCACGGCCAGCAGCAATTCACCAAGCGGGGGGCAAGCAGGGGGATCTAATCCCGGGCCTGGTGCCGCTGTCTCCACGTCTTGAGATGTGAGCTGGATCTCTTCTCTCGTTTTCTCCTCTCCCACATCTTGATCTTCCACCCCGTATCCTTTTAATTTTTTCAACCCCATGTTCAGCATCTGGCAGGCGTCATCTGTCATTTCCCCTTTTACCTTACCTGTACTTTTACTCACGCCATACCCTCATCACCCTTTTATTTTTCCTGAAACGCGGGGAAGCATATGAGATCCGGGATAACGTCGCCGGATTGATGCGCTTTTCTTATGACATGACCCCTGATCTTATGCAATTGCCACTGTACATAGCCTGTTCTGTCCCTCTTTCTCTTTCTTCACTTGAGCAGTCGATAGACTCTGTACGAATAGCGAAGCGACGAGGTTAGTAACGAAGAAAACAAGAATAATATCAATTAAGATGAAAGAAAAAAGAAAATGAAGACTTTTCTGTAAATTTCGAATATAGTCAAAGATGAGGGGTAATCAAGAGCTTCAAGATCTGAAAGCCTTGGGGCGTCTCGATTCGTCGTGGTCGTCGTTGGCAGGGCGCTTGGCCGCGGTCCCGTTAGCCTGATTGCTGATTTGGTTGTTGAGCATCGTAAAGAGATTTTGCAGAACTTCTTTCTCGCCAAGGCGGACTTGAATAGCCATCGCCTTGCGGCGCATGTATGTATCAGCAGGGTTGAGGGCGGCTGGCTGGCTCAATTGAGCGAGAAGCTCCTGGTCTTGTGCGATGGTTGTTGGGTAGTGCGCTTGGTTGAGCTCCAGCGCTCTACCAAGTATGGTAGCTTCGGCTTCGCCAAATGTCGGCTTGGGAGGCTTGTTCTTGGACATCTGCTTCTGCAGAAGTTCTGGCGACAGCGATAGAGTCTTGAGCAACAGAAGCAATTCATCCTGGAGGATGTCTGTCAACTGATCTTCAGGGGAGGGTCTTGGGATGGCATAGCCGTCATCAAGGAGTTCCAACTCTTCTAGGAACCGGAGCTATGGTAAACATTAGCATGGGCAAGTTGGAAGCAGCAGACCTTGGAAACAGGAGTATACCGGAGGTTGCAATTCAACATCAGCATTCGAAAGACCCGCTGCCTGACATATATTGCTGAGGGATACCTCGATGACATCGAACGGAGCATAATTGTCGGTGACATACCCGTACCGTCGCAGGAGGTCTGACCGGGGGATCTCTCCGTAGTCATTGAAAATCTCCTCGCCAGCTCCGATAGGTTTGATAGCTTTCATAACAAGAATCTCTTCTTCTTGGAAGATGCGAGCCTGTATAGACGCATTAGTTAGGGCTATGAGGCTCCCCATAATAGATGGAAGGTCACCTACATTGTTTCGATTGGCATCTGCGTTGAGCAGATCGGCCAAAGGGACCATGCCTTTAGACGACTGTCCTTCCTCTTCGTCTGAAACATAGCCATCTTCTCCATCGCGTTCATCTTCATCCTCAGGCTTCTCGATATCAAATGCATAGGCCATGATAAGCGACCCCATGGTATGAGCCAGGTGGAGGAGAGCTTGCGTACCGACATCTCCTTCAAAAGAGGCTAAACCGTCGATGGGAGGGAACAGGGAAGGGTTTGCCCGTACAATGGGGGCTACGGTCTTGAGTATGGATTCTTCTGCGCCCTGTCGTCCGATCTTGTTCACGATGGCGCTGCCTTGAAGCTCCGCAAGTTCGGCTGGGGACCAAAACATCAGGGTGTCAAAATTCCGAGGAAGGACTCTGAAGTACTGCGCCCATGGGGACTGATCACCGCGAAGATACTCATAGATCATGACCACCATGAGAGAAAGCCATGGCCCAAGTTCCTCCAGGTCGTGGGAGACCAGGCCCTTCAACTTCGAATTCTGAACGGAGAGGACATGGGCGCGGGGGATGGTGAAAAGCTCTTCGCCTTCTTCGAGATCGAGTCGAGCCACTGGTAGAGTGACACGAGAATATCAGAGAGGGGAAGACTTCCACAAAGCAGGCATACAATGAGATAAGACCCATGCGGAACAAAAATCTCGTTTTAGGGAGGGTGGGAAACATACCGACACCTCGGCCGGCGCCGCTGGCCCTCAGATCAGCGATCTGAATCTTAGGGTTCAACTTGACGCCCGGGAGACTAGACAGCCAGGTGATGAACTCATCTGATTGTTGCTGGAAGTGATTTGCGTCTGGAAAATGGGTAGTGGAGGACATGATGTGGGACGACAAGAGGTCAAGTTGTGTGGTGTGAATTGGCTGTCACACCAAAGAAAAAGGAAATTGAGCAACCCCCCACCGTCTAGCAGCCGCGGAAATTCAAGGGGAGACGGAAATGAATCCCAAGAGAACAGGGGGGAGAGGATGGAGAAAGGTATGGCGTGGTTGATAGAAGTGTCACGAGAAGGAGGAGGGGGGGGAAGGTGAAGAGAGAATGGGAGAAAATGGGGGGTGGGTAAGTAGACCTGAGTAATTAGTAGTTAACTTAGCGACGCTGATAGACCGAGTAGTCCTAACTTACTCCTCTCCGTACTAACCTACCACTTTTGAGTGACAGGCAGTTCTTAGTTCTAACTACCTTAGTACTTTGTCTGTACCGCCGGATAAACGCTGCGGCGGATTTGCCGTCCCAAACTCTGGCGACCAATCGATAACGTTGCTGATAAAGCCGAACCAGGCCCGAATTTGCCCCTCCATCACTGGCTCAGCTCGACCAGGCGGCCTTCGCGATTCATTTTTTGAACAGCTTCTCCGAAGCGGTGATCTGTCGGCTTAGCTTGCAAATCGTTCAATCGATTTGGAATCCTTTTTGCGCAGAAACCCTAGTCATTCTATACTCCTCTACTCTGCGTTGCGCTGCGCCTTCCACCATGATTGCCGTCGGAATCGAAGGCTCTGCCAACAAAGTCGGAGTGGGCATTATCTTCCACCCGGAGGATGGCAGCACCCCGCAGGTGCTTGCGAACGTGCGGCACACCTATGTCACTCCTCCCGGGGAGGGCTTCCTACCCAAGGACACTGCCCGCCACCATCGCGCCTGGGTGGTGAAACTGGTCAAGCAAGCCCTGCAAGATGCGCGGGTCTCTGTCAAGGATGTTGACTGTATTTGTTACACCAAGGGTCCTGGCATGGGCGCCCCTTTGCAGAGTTGTGCCATTGCCGCGCGCATGTTGAGTCTACTTTGGGGCAAGGAGCTGGTGGGAGTCAACCACTGTGTTGGACGTAAGTACAACGTCGTCATCTCTGCAAGCCCGTTATCAAGATCTTCTTCCATAGGGGTGCCTTGTGGGGAAAGACGCGACGCATTGGCCCCCGTCTAATATCTCCAACTCTTCATCTGCCCCCCTCCCCCCTTTTCTTCTACCCACCCTTGACCCTCCTTGGAGATCTTGATCACAAAAAGCCGCAATTGATCCACCGCCGCGTCGCTAACCCTAAGCTTGAACAGACATTGAAATGGGTCGGGCCATCACCGGCGCCACGAACCCAGTCGTCCTCTACGTCTCCGGCGGAAACACCCAAGTGATCGCATACAGCTCGCAGAGGTACCGCATCTTCGGCGAGACCCTTGACATCGCCGTCGGAAACTGTCTGGACCGCTTCGCACGCACGCTACACATCTCCAATGACCCTGCGCCGGGTTATAATATTGAACAGTTGGCCAAGAAGGGCAAGCGACTCGTGGATCTGCCCTACACCGTCAAGGGAATGGACATTTCCATGTCTGGAGTTTTGGCAGCGATTGATGCGCTGGCCGTCCAGTACGGACTCAATGGGGAGTGGGACGAAAAAGATGACAGCGCGGACTCTGCCCAAGGGGAAGCAGACGATGGGAAGCCGACTCGTGCGGATTTGTGCTTCTCACTGCAGGAAACCGTCTACTCTATGCTGGTGGAGATCACGGAACGTGCGATGGCGCATGTTGGATCGAAGGAAGTGCTGATTGTCGGTGGGGTGGGATGCAATGAACGGTTGCAAGAGATGATGGGTATCATGGCTCGCGACCGCGGGGGCACCGTACATGCCACGGATGAGCGATACTGCATCGACAACGGCATTATGATTGCCCAGGCCGGTCTGATGGCCTACAAAACTGGCTTCCGGACGCCGCTTAAGGACGCCACTTGTACGCAACGGTTCCGCACGGATGAGGTTCTAGTGAAATGGAGGGATTGAAACGTGTGCCGATCTGATTAAGAGTTATGATTCTCATGATATAAGTAATAGAACTTAGACAAATGTCTTGAACGATGCCGCAGGGTTCGGCGCTTGAAAGCCATACTTAGGTTGACACTGCAAGATGAGTAGTCAATCGCTCACCGACTGATCGCTCCTTCTATTTCTATATCAAAGACTACAACCAAGACCCAGATAGTTTTGCGCCGGAAGCTGTGGGGATAATGTGTCATTTGCGGACTGACCGGCCCCGCTTCGATATCGAGGAACTGGGTAGAAGCTTGTTTCGAGGATACATCACACAACTATTTGTATGAAGTAAGGCGAGAACGCCAAGGTACCACAGGACCGTTGGCCGGCACTCAGGAGGGCTCAGTTATCAGCCGATTCTAATCACTAGTCATACACCACCTCAATAACAGAGCAACATCGAGCAGGGAAGCAGACCCCTGCATCTCAGGTTTATTGTCCCAAGCAGATCGGGGGTATTCAAGATCCAGTGTGCTTGGATTGCATGCCCAATTATATGTGGATCTATGGTACTCTAGACTTCTTGGCAATAAAACGCAATGGAAGTCAAATATCCGTAATTCTCAAATCATCTATTTCATATGGATGAGTTTTACAGCGAGCTCCATGCTGCATAAGACAGACTTTCCCGTGGATTTGGATACCGAGTCAATACTCACACTGTTCGGGCCATGCAGTGGAGAGAGCAGTCAAAGGAGTCGATTCTATCTGTAGTTACTCCGAGATATCTCCTGTAGGCTTGTACAAAATTGTCGTAACATACTGCACAAGTTTGAGTCAATATCATACAAGGAACACTAGGGGAAGAATACCAATTACAGACGATGGACTTACCTTTCGCTTGTACCTAGTTGTCACACTAGTGGCCAAAACACCGTTCTTGATGCTGCTTGTGGCAAGATGGTTTAGCACCGTGTGGTTGGGATAGTTCAATACACTGCTATCATCCTTCATCGGTGTAGTGCCGTTCAGGATGGACTTCCCGAGGAAGAGTGGTAGACTTGGTGGCGTTGGAGCATCCCCAACGATATTGACAGCTTGCTGATACTCGGGCGCTTCCTCTTCTTTGTCCAGGTCGAGAAGAAACTGGGGAATAATACCGCGGAAATCACCAAGAGGTATCTCCTCCTCTGGCTCTTCTTTATCAGATTGATCATCCACGGTGGAACCACCCTCCTGATCGGGAGTGGCAGGGTCAGGTAGGACCTGAGGCGGACGAATACCCGGGGGAACCGAGCCCTTGTCGCTCTCTCTCCGCCCCCGATTAATGTCATCGGCACTGATCTCGATATAGTTGACCAAGTGGTTCGTGAAGTCCACCGCCGTCGGAAGAGTATCAGAAGCCCGCATTTCGTTGTCGACAATAAATTTAAGATGATGGGTACCCGGACGGAGATTTAATCTAGCTGACATGACGCCTGGGTTGTTCTCACTGCTCCAGAGATAATTCATCAGTCTTCGAAAGCCAGGTAGCTAGTGACGATGGAAAGCGGCAGCCGCAAGTCCTCTAGCCAAAGCACCACAGTTCAAAACAACATACGAGCTGGCAGAGATCGAGCAATCGGTGCTGAGACCCGTGCGGTGATAGTCACGTACCTTCTGTGTAGACGGAACTTCTTCTCCCAATTCACGAATGTTCCAGTTACATAGACCTTGTCTCCAGGCCCAGTCCACTCAATGGTAGTCGGCACTGCCCTTCCCACTCCGCTAGGCGTAAAAGGCTGAAGCTCGTCCAATATCTCATCATCCTCCACAGTGGTGCTTCCTTGACTCGGGTGCCTTTGCTCAATATGTTCGTCCAAAAGCTGGTCGACGGGCAGCGACTCCATATAACCATCTTCTCGACCAACAGTTGTAGCATCGCCAATGGGTAGCGGCATTCGCGGAGGGCGCTGGAGATGAACGGAGGCGCTGTAATATACATTTGGCGGCGCCCCAGAGGGCGCCATGGGGTCGTTCCTAGCAGTGGCTCGAGAAACAGGAACTTGTACTGGGTTAGAAGGGTCAGGCGAAGGGATGTCACCATCGCGAAGGTCTGCTTTTTTGGGAGTCGGACGATCTGCGGTTCTTGTTGCGGAGTCGGCGACATTGCGGGATTGTAGGCGTTGTTGAACCGAATGGTGGCTTTGCGATGTTGCATAACCCTTTGCGGTCTCTCTGGTGGCCGGAGGATCGGCTGCGGAAGCCTTAGTGGTACCCGATGAGGCATTGACCGAAGGTCGACGATGTACCCTTTTGTCACTCGCGGGTGCCGTTAGGCCCGAGTGACCCGAGGGGGTTTGGGCGTCTCCGGCCGGGCCCTTGGAAGGATTGTTGCCCATTTGAACAGCAAATACCGAGACACTTATTAATCAAAGGAGTGAAGCTGAGAGTCTCAGGGTATGTAGTAAGACGCTGCACAGAGGACGTTTAAGAAAGGCGCATACAAAAAGATGCCAGCATCCGGAGGACGGCCTCTGACGGCGGAGGGGTAATGGAATTCTGAGAATAATAAGAGATCGACAACTGGGTAGAGAACACCTTGTAATGATCGACAGACGTAGCACAGTAAATGAGGGGAAATAAGTAGCAAATGTATCTTGGGAAATAAGAAGAGTCCAGATCAACAGAGGCGAGTGGAGGATATCGCAACGGGGAGATGCTGATGGGTTGCCGCGTTGATGATTGATGATGTCGATGTCGTTCGACCCCAGACTAGTACTAGAGAGGAGACAAGTCTGGGCCAGGAAGGGAGACTTAGGGCTTAGGGTTGCGGACTGTTTTGACTGATGAGTCTCAATTCTATCCCTGATCCCCGCTTTTCCCATCATCGATCGGCTTTCGCTCCGGCCGCTATATTACTCCGTCAGTAATTATTATTGTTTGCCGGTAGTTGTACCGAAGTTGAGACCCAGCCTTTTACTACAGTACCGTCCTGTCCAGTCAACAGCCCCCTTACACATTGAACTGTACAGTACACTATCATCCTGCACTCCGTAATCGGATGAGGTCCTTCCAGTTCGAAGCGGACGCCCGTCCATCGCACCTGCTTCACTTACTAAAAATCGCGGGGAATATCCGCCCTTCTGCCGCCTCCGACCGCTTGACATAAGCAGATTACCAGCCTCCCCTTGACATGATGGACGCTCTAGGCACGCCCGCGACAGTTCCTAAGCTGTTTAATATACTCTGGACTGCTGAGCTGAGGTGAGACTAGTCCTGGTAGGAGGGTCTCATCGCTTTAGATTGAGCACATGGCTTGGCTGTCAATTCTGCGGGGCTGCTTCAATGCCTTATTCTATCCTACTCTTTACCTAGTGCGCGGGGCATAT